CCCTGGGGGGACCCGGCTCCACTTTGAAAACACCTTGAATTATTAGTTTATTAATTAGTTGGGCATAAGAAAACTGAAATCAACAATCTTCTGACAAATCTTATTCATAGCCAGAACATGTGTCAGCCCCAAATCAAGCACTTCTTTTTTTAAAGAAATAATTGTTAGGGATAACTTTTTGACACTGTTTTCTGTCATATAACAGACATTTAAAGTGCCAGGTTTCAAAGGTCAGGTGGGCTTCATCACCTCCATGTCTGACCATTTCTGTGGCTCCTGCAACCGCTTGCGCATCACTGCAGATGGCAACCTCAAGGTAAAGCTGCAGTTCTTTGTTAAGCTTCAAGGGGTTGTTCGTGAGGTCTGTTTTTGTGTTAATGTAGCGCACACTGTGTGTGTGTGTGTGTGTGTGTCCACTCACAATTATAGATTAACATATTAGGTATAAATAATCTCATCCTTTCTTTGGTTTGGAACCATCCATGATTCAGTTTTAAATGACTTATCTGTCCTCCCTCTGGTCTGTTTTCTCTCAGGTGTGTTTGTTCGGGAACTCTGAAGTGTCCTTGAGAGATATCTTGCGCTCTGGGGCTTCAGATGAAGAGCTATTGCAAATCATTGGAGCTGCTGTGGGCAGGAAGAAGAAACAACACGCAGGTAGTTTATTTATCACACATGATTTATGGGATATATTCACAGATTCTTTAGGAGCTTGAAGTTCTATTGTAATGTCATATCTTTCTGTTTGAATCTTCAGGCATGTTCAGTATCTCTCAGATGAAGAACAGACCTATGATCCTCATTGGTGGGTGACATGGCTGTACGTACAAACCGCTCACACTCAGTTTGTTCTTTCACTGCTCAGCCCTGATTTATTTGTGATAGTTTGGTCATCAACACCTGTTTTTCTACATTTACTGCCTATTCATAGTAAATTATGCATCTTCAAGATACATTTACATTTGAACTAATACTGTGAATCTTCATCTAAATATGATTGTTTCTTTTTGTTTAACAGTATCCTTGACTCCAACAGGCACCGGATCCCAAAGGCCTTTGTCTCAGCCAAAGGCACAAGACAGCCTGAGAGCTTTCCCCATTGTTTCCCAGCTTACAAACAACACATTCCTCTCTCCAGCAGCAGCTCCTCACATGTGCCATCCAGACAGCAGGAGAGTCCTGAATAAAGAGGGTTTTTTGTGCCTTCCAGACTGCGCTGCTTCAACACAGGCAGCCCATTTTTGCTGCTCTACAACCTTAATGAATGGGGGTACGCATGATAGGTCACATATCAACAAATTAAAGCCCAATGCGACAGACAACCTCCACAGTGTAGCACCCCTTCACTCCTCTCAGTTTGATAAAGCTGTCAGTAGTTGTCACACTAAGACACAATGCACAAATGTCATGAGCTACATTAATGAAGACCGTCTCAGGTACGCACAAGCCAGGGGTCCCGATACTTTGAAGAGCCACTTACTCAGGACCCCAGGAACACCTACTTTTTGCACACTACTAATGAATGCCAAAATAAATCTTAAACACCACAATGTTAGACTGTGTCACAATCAGAGTTCCAGCGAAGACCCCAGTGTCAAACAGTTTGTGAGTGATCAGAACAAGTCAGGCACAAATGTCTCCAACACTCACCTGGATGAAGCCACCAAAGCCCAGCTGACGCATACAGACGCCCAGGGCCGGGCCACAATGGTGGATGTAGGGGGGAAAGTTCCCACATGTCGTATAGCCACAGCCCGCGCCACCATCATCTTGGGCCCCACTGCCTTTGGGCTGCTTCGGGATAACCAGCTGGCTAAGGGTGACGCCTTGGCCGTGGCACAGTTGGCCGGCATCATGGCTTCCAAGCAGACCTCAGCCCTCATCCCGCTCTGCCACTCGCTCCCCTTAGACCACGCCTCTGTCACGTTTGACCTTGACGAGCAGCAGAACGCCGCGGTCATCACAGCAACGTGTCGCACTACAGGCAGGACAGGAGTTGAGATGGAGGCTTTGACAGCCGTCACTGTTGCAGCGCTGACTGTCTATGACATGTGCAAGGCTGTGAGCCATGACATCATCATCACGGATGTAAAACTGGTCAGTAAGACGGGCGGGAAGAGGGACTTTCATCGTCATACTTGAGACCCCCCCACCAATGAATCTAATCCAGGAAAAGTGACTATTAATAAGCAACATTAAGACTGCACACATTTTTGCTGGAATTGTCATATTTTCCTGCAAACTAAGATTTATGCCATCAGAATAATGTGAAAGATTTTATAAACACATAAAAAATCCTACATTCCCCCATCCTGCCAAACTCAGCCAGTGGCTGACTTGATTGCCTGCTCCATCGACATTTTACCAGCAATCCTTACTTTATCTGTCACAGTATGAAACATGTTGTTTCAACAGTGTCCATGTTAACTTTAATTTAGCAGTGGTGCGCAAATCATCCCAGTGTTATACATTAGATTATTTATTCCCTGTAATAGAAATCTGATACAAGTGCAACAAGTGAAACGCATAGAACAAATTGGACGACTGCAGTGTTTGTTTTTGTCTCTAGAGGGCACTCAAGTGTTACATTTACAAGCCTCCCCAGAAGTCCTCCAGCAAAAAAAAAAAGCTCAAAGCTGGTCACATATTGAATGTAGTTATATTTATTGGCCTACATGAACTTTATAGATACTTCCATTTAGAATGAAGCTGTCACAGAAAGGATCAACAGCAGAGTAATGAGAGCAGAGAAGCGTACGTTTCAATGTCAATGTGGCTTTTTCCTAGGTCTGCTGCTAGACATCAGGTCTAACTGAAATATCACATCCTCTATATGTTCCTCTACTTACCTGCCTTGGATTTCTACAATTTATTGCACTGAGTATGAGGGTTATTTCAGTTGAATGAAATGTAACTTTTCTCAGAGATATTGCTTTCATCATTTTGTCAGTGATGGTAACTAGTAAAGAATTTACTCTGAATTTGGGCATTTACTGGATTTTATCTAGTTTTTATTCTTCTAATTCTGTAGTATACTGGAAACACTGGATATTTGTACTCACACCACATTACAGTAGGGGATGAGAGTAAGGTGACACCATTTATTAGTTGTGTTTTGTTTGCCCCCTCTTTACCCCCAGAAAGAACTTGATTTTGTTTCTTTGATTTGATGTTGGCTAAAAATGTATAATTATATGAAAAAGTGTCTAACTGCCTTGAGAAACAGATGCACCCTCCCATGTTTTGCATGTCACCTTCATTTTGTCAGTATTACTGCAGGTATGATTGTCTCTGGTCAGCACTGTAGGACAGGGGATCTCCCTTGTTGTCTTTGGAGAACTGAATATTGCTATTTTTGTAACCTAGCAAATGGTTGATTGTGTTCACTCTGCCTCTAGCTCAGAGGTTTTGTCAGTTACAACATAAAAGTGTGTTCCACGGTGTTATATTTGGTAATTAAAGAAAACAGACAATTCGTAGCTTTGTATCCCTGAGAACATCCATCATATTGTCTTAGGTTTGCTTTCCTTTAAAAAAAATTCTGTTACCAGTCCAAGACAGGTTGACCGTTATGTATCCATGTTCTGAATCACTGAGAGACTACCTTTTGCCAAGATAGGTGCAGTCACCTGGCTTGGAGGTCTGAAGTGCAGCAGTTGTTTTTAATGTTTTTACCAGTCTGAAATGAAAACACATAACTGTACGTACAGATTTCTCACACTTTGTTATATCGCCGGTGACTATGGGCTGATTATGTTTACAAGTCCAACTAACCTTGAACAATGAATATTGCTGCTTGCTCTGATTCCATTGCAGTTGTCTCTTATTTTACTTGGATAATGCCAATATTGCCTCGTGTTTATTTTCTCTCAGATGATTTTACAATCATATCAGAGGGCCAGGGTGGAGGTACATACAACCATGTGTCCGCCAATAAACATGTACTGTAGCAGTTTGTCCTTCCCTCTAATAATTTGATTATACTTGGAGTAAGTACAACTGTCATGTAAATGAAGTAACTTTTTTTAAACCTCATAACTTATATTAAGGTTGAGAAGACTGTACTGGAAAAATACAGTAGTAATTCACATTTTCAATTTTCACAGGGGTGTAGCTAATCTAATTATGATGGCTCTATCCGTAAAGTCCAGGTACAAATTCACTTAGGAAAAGCTGACCAATTCTACTATATTCTTGCCAAAAAGTCAAAATGAGGTACAGAGCACTGGGGACTGCTGGCTCACCCTGTGTGTTGCTTTTCTACAGGCAGATGAAGCTGGAGAAGATGTTAAAAGCCTTTGGTTTTAGTGATGGTGATGCACTGCCAGAAATAATGCAGTTATTATTCAATAAAATGGGAAATGGAAAAGACGGCCTTTTCTGTGATAGTAAGTGTATTTTTGAGGCTTAAGGACATAAATTATGTCAAAAACTAGAGTTAAATGTTAATATTGCCCTATTCACTATTATTAATAAGGTATTAAACTCAGTTGGTTACTATTTATCAATATATTTTTTAGTTTTCAAAATGAAGACAACTTTTAATGGCTTTTTTTGTTTTTTGTCACATTTTGTCACCTTGTGCATTCAGAATAAATTGATTATCTTGCATCTGAAGAGCTTATTCTACTCTTTTGTCAATGTCCGGGATTTATTTTTTTCAATCAGATAGGATCATTTTTAAAGTTAGAAGCTTTCCAATCCTAATATTGGACAGTTTTGCTCTGTTATATGTTAAAAAGGTAGTAGAATTACTTTTGGGATTATTATTATTATTATTGTCATGAAAAGTATTTGCCCAACAAGTCTTGATGAAGCAATGATGTCCAAAGTAAATAAGGCATTTTACAAGCAACCTTGAAGGCAGCAGTTGCCATGGCAACAGTCGACAAACTGGAGCTAACCATAGACTGTATATAAAAAGCTAACATTAAGCTACATTAATGTTAAAGTCTCGGGTGTGATAAAGTTGTGAAGGGTCATGTCAGAGAGTAGGTCGAGTTCATTATCGATATAAAATAGGAAAATGCTTAAAATAATTTTCTTTAGTGATAACCTGTAGCTATTTAGTAACGTTACTGCCAGGACCAAAACTATGAGGCTAAACGTTAACGTTAAGTTTTAAAGATTGCCTAACGTTAAGTTAGCTAACTTGGCGTTCCCTAACAGTAAATACACGGGATTGCATTTGAAGCATAGACTGATTTGAAGACGCTTTAAGTACGGTAACGTTGCACTTTATAATAACATAATATATTTTGTTAACAGCATTCGTGTTTGCAGGAATGTTGCAATTATCCATACAAATGTTGTCAGGTTAACTGTGTAACGTTAACGTTTGTTTACTTAAAACCTATACACCTCTAACTTACTCTTGTGCTGGAACAGCGCTATTTCCTTCAACTTGATTTCTGTGACTACAATTTTGTGCTAATTTGATTAAGCCAACCATTTATGAGGGGATATGTGATATGTAGCCTAAATAGACATAGAAGTTGAATTCCTCCAGGCAGACAATGTCTGTAATGAACTGGGAAACAGTGCAGCTGTTTTTTAAGCCACAAATTGGTTTAAATTTGCATTCTTTCTGCAACCTGCTGCCACTTTAAATACAGAGCCAGTAGAGCACCAGATGCCAGAAGCAATCTCAGAGATGTCTTCACCACAACCAGGTAAGCATCTGTCATAATGCTGTGCTTCACAAATAAGAAACAATTATTATTATTTAATTTTTTTCAATGACATTATAATTTCAACTTTTCAGGAGTACCAGATTTGTTTTGTCAGGCAGTTTTGTTGTTTCAGATATCGACAGTGCTTTTACTTGCAGAGATTGATAAACAGTGGACAAAGTGATATATTTGGAAAACAAAAGCAGACATATGTAAAGTTTGTTTGGTACAAGAACATTTTCTTTATTTATTCTGTGTGTAGAATTGAGAGGGAGGGAGACAGGACAGAGCCAGTCAAAAGTACCAGAAAGTCCCCTCTGCATGTCTACAGTCACAGTGAGGGATAAATTGCACAAAAAAGAGGTTGGTGTGTGTAAGCACAACTTAATCTACAAATAATACACTGTTTTACATCCACTGTGTATTAGTAGTGTCACACACTGTCTGCAAAAAAGTTTGAGATTGTACTGTTGTTCTCCCCCATGGTCAGGAGCTGCTTCAGTTCATGGCTACGACAGATGACCTGGTGGGACACGTGCTGGTGGAGGAGGAAGAGGAGGAGGAGAAACAGGAGAGGATGAAGATTCAACAACCATATAAAAATAACACACCTCTCCCTAAACAAACACAAGACTGTCCTTACCTGAAGAGGATTAAGCAAGGTGGGTGGAGATGGAGCAGAGTCAAAGCATTTAAAAGGTTGTAAGGTACTACTTATGGCATGGAAGGTTTCCTTAAGTTAGTGTTAAGAATGATCTGTCCTCTGTCCCTAGAGACCATTAAGAGAGACAGAAATTGGGACTTACTCTCCATTGAACGGCAGAGAGCACTACTGGAGGTAAATTACTTGAACAGTCCTATTTTAATGGTGCAAGTGCACTGACCAGCACCGCACAGACACCTTGCACCTGCTATTTTGGGTCATGCAGGTGCTACGTGAATAGGAGTACAGGTGCCTTCAGTTGCCTGCAAGGATTTAAACAGCATAAAGCAGCTGTGGACAACAGATATTGATTCATAGATCAGTGTAGACCACTTAGTGGTAGAGTTAGATAAAAAAGATGGATATCATTCTCATATCTATCATGGACTGGTGACCTGTCCAGGGTGTACCCCGCTTTTCACCCGATGTCAGCTGGGATTGCCTCCCCCCCCCCCGGATGAAGCTTCAACCAGGAGTGCGTAGCTTAGCATAAAGACAGAATCCAAGCAACAAGTTGTGGTTTAACAGGGGCTGTGCAGGACTATCTCTAGGGTAAATGCAATGACTAGATGGATTCATGTCTTCGCCGTGAGGTTGCCAGGCAACCAGCAGAAGCTCCCTGTTATATCACAAATTGTTTATATATATTTTATATATGGGTTCAGGATCAGAATGAGAAATACTTACTGTTAAACAACTACAATGTATTATTTTAAAAACCTTTATTTAACGAGGAAAGGCTCATTGCTTTCCAAGAGCATCCTGTCCAAGATAGGCAGCAGCAAATTGTTATATAAAAATGACAAAATACAACAAATACTAGTTTCTTAGAGAAAAGTGCTGCTAGGTGGGTTTCCTTCCCTTTGGACAGAGCCAGGCCTGCTCTCCCCATGGCCTCAGTCTTTCTGCCAAGCTAAGGGTCTGCTGGTTGGAACCTCATATTTAATGGACACATACAAGCTTGGTACTTTTACTCATTCTCTTGGCAAGAAAGCAAATATGAATTTCCTAAAAAGGGAAACTATTATTCTAAAATAAAAACATGGGATAATAATCACATCATTTATTATTTTATTCAGTATGTTTTTGTTATTACAAAATAACATCGGCTGAATGTACTGTAAATATATATTCCATAATGACCAAGACATAGTTATTCATCATAGTAATTCATGTTTGACTTTACCTTCCTCTCCTGAATTGTCTGTAATACTCCCTTTACCCACATCCTTCTGTCCTCAGTCCTCTCTGATGATGAGCAGGTCAGAGATTATGAAGATGGACAAGACCATATCAGTAAAGGAGCGACTTCTGAAACAGCTTGAACAAATCATTGCAAGAGAGAATTACAATTTTGAGGAGTTCCTCAAGAGGAATGAGGAGATATACATGGAGTACAGAACATTGTGAGCAGTAGTGATTTCCTTGTTATTGTAAGTTTGACTAAGACCGAAGTGAATGTCATTTTTCAAATATGGGAATAATTGTAATGCCTCTGTTGTCAGTTTTCAAGAAGAGGGGAAGTCGGGACAGGAGAAGAATGCTGCAATTGAGAAGTTAACTGATGAAATATGGACCATAAAAAGGTAGCAGTACGAAAATATTGTAAATTTAACATAAATATGTTCACATTCTCCATGCTTTATGTGCATGAAGTGAGAAACCAATAAGTGCCAGGAGAAGACCTATAATCAAAAGTGAGCAATTTAGAGGTATTAATCTGCAATGAGTAGTTTGCAGTGGGATGCAGTAGCATGTTAAATGGATCTAAACCTAGTTTTTCTTCTTCGTAGTCAATTTGCCAAGATTGAGGCATTCCTTAATAAATATAAGAGATACAAGAACATTCTGTTCATGCTGTCGCCTCCGGAGTGGCAGGAGGCCCAAGAGGCAGAGGCTTTGAAAACTAAAGTCGCGTCTGACAGAGACGCTCAGGATGAGCGGAACATGGAGCCTCGGGAATCAGCAGTTAGGCAGGGTAAGTGTTAATTTACATGAAATAGGTTAAAACTGCCAGGTTTGTTGATCCACTGATATTGGCCAAACCAGGTCCAAGCTGTCTCATATTTTCCAGTGTAAATGAGTTGCCAAAATTTATTAACACCACTCTTGTATGAGATTTAGGAATCCCTTAAAAGAACAGTCCCATCGATTTCGGATTGCACCACGTTATAACTGTCGACTCACAAGATACAGATTAAAAACAGACTGCAGCAGAGGCTGACATATCCTGACTTGTAAATATGAATAGTGCCAGTAGTGTGATGGGAATGATAACGTGCTCGCAGGTTTGGCGAGAGGTTTTGAATTCAGTACAGGTAGCGTGCAGCCTTTGACCAGAGAGCCCACGCTGTCCGCAGCCCACAACAAGTAAGGAGACACCAACACACACACATCCATGACTGATGATGCTGCATATCTAGTATTTGTCTTTTAATGAATGTACTCAGTATAAGGCAAAATAATAACCAATATTAACAAATAATAAAAAAGAAAATTACACTCTAATGAACGTTATCCTTTTTCTTTGGTATTTCAGGATCACAAATTCTAAACTGGACTGCAACAACTCAGCAAATGAGGTCAGTTCTCCAGAAGCGCTACCTCATTTTATCTAGAGTGTTTATTTGACCTGCTCACAGTGAGGTGTCACTTTCCCCGTCCTGCAGGAGAAACTGGAGCTATACTTCTCTGATCCCCAGCAGCTACTGGGTCTGATGTCAGAGCTGACTGAGCAGAGCCTGTCCCTGATTCAGAACTCCACCAGGGTGGATGAGACACTCGTGGAGCTCCGGCAGGCCATAGAGGCCAGCTTGAAGAAAATGTAAGCATCACATTTATCCAAAAGGCTCATTTTAAACTGTAGTCCCCAGTAATAAATTAAAGTGTGAAGTTGTAATTTCAAAGATGCGTGTAACATACAAAAAACACGTATATAAGGCAAAATACTACATACAGTGAACAACTTGTGGCAGTAATTCCATGCAATGCTAAATCCTCTCTGTTTATAGGAAAGAGGATGAAGAAAAACTAACGTTGCAGGTAAATGACATGAAGCACAGAATCAACAACGAGAAGTCGACAGCTACAAAGCTCAAAAAGAAGGTTCAGCTCCATGACTCATTAAAAACAGAGGACCAAGTAAGTATGCAGAAAGTACTGTATGTTTGGCTACATTTTATCCACCTTGTTTTAAATGTAAAAGCTGCACTTAGCAACGTAAAATTGATTCACGGGGAAACACAGCAAAATGTTTTATGGTTTATTGTCTCCTCCCCTCTGATGTATCCCACTTACAGGATGTTTTGTTGGATGCACTGGGCAGGAAGGTGAAAGAAGTGCATCACTGCTGCGTGGATAGCCGGTTGACCACCCTGAGCACTTTGGAGAAGCTGTCCAGTGTCGAGTACCGTATGTCTTTACTGCTCCAGCTCATTGAGACCATCCCTGAAGAAAGCTTGGAGGCACTGAGGCAGATTAAGGACAATGAGAGGAGGAACAGGTTTGTTTCACTGACCACAGGCCTGAGACTGGGCCTGTAGGTCAGTGTTTCTCAATGGGGGCACTCTGAGGACGATGGGGGGGGCTGGTAGCAATATTTTGGAAAGGGGGGCGCTGAGCTGCTTTTGGGGGGGGGTTGCTTAGTTGGAATTCTAAGGCGAGTTTACACCAAAGATTCACAACAATACGAGTTTAAACTTTAAACTACTTGCAAAAAAACTGTGGTCTGCAACATTAAAACCTGCCAATTTGCGACTGGACGAGACTGTATTTTTCTCTGGCACCTACTTGTGGTGCAGCTCCATAAAGGGAAGTCAGAGTATCATCTGTAAAATTTTACCCACATTTACCCACGTTTACTGTGTAAACTCTAGAAAATGGACGCTCTCTTTCTTGGTTACACATTTACAAGAGGGATATTCCACTGTTGGACACCAGCGAGTGACGTGGACCCACCTCGCGCTGCGTGTCGCAGACATTTTGTGCCAAAGCAGATATATACAGTAGTTTCAGTAGGTTATAAAAATGTAACGGTAAAAACTGAAGCCCTGTCTTGCTCTGTTGGGGATTGTAAGCGGCACATTATTTTGAGGATAAAAATATTTAAAAGCAATAAAGAATGTCTCAGAGCCTCACTACATTATATTCTATTATATTCATATATTTTGAGTTGACACCTGCCACCTGAATTTTCCACCATAAATTGCAGAAATGTTCACCAGAATGCAGGGAATTAAGTCTTTAATGCTCACAATCATCTGGGGGAAGATTTATTAAGTGCCCCATCCAAGAAAGCAGTCTCTGGCTTCACACACAGTTTCTGGGAGAAACATTCACTTATTAGTTTACTTACTTTAATTACTTTTCACATGGCTTTTTGGTTACCTGGGAAAGTAATTGAAATGTCGTTTGTCTTTCAATTATGTGATTTTTAAATGTTTTAATAACAATAGTAACAACAACAATAAAAAAATAATAACAATATTCAGGGCAAATAGCCAACACTTTTTTGATGGGGGGCGGTAAGGGACCTGGATAATGGATAGGGGGGCACTGACGAAAAGGTTCAGAACCACTGCTACAAGCGGGGATAGTAGTGTTGTAGTCAAGACCGCCCAAACCAAGACCAAGTCAAAACCAAGACCAGAGTTTATTGAGACCGAGTCAAGACCAAGACCAGTTCCCTGCATTGCATGGCATGCAATAAAATGTGGAACGAGATCATAAGTACTTCACAAATTAACCTGAAAGATCCACATTCCCATTAAAACACCCACATACAAACACTAAGTTCTGAAATCAACATAAAGGAGGGGTGACAGTCGTTAACGGTAACAACACATGTTTAATTAGGGTCAGATTTAAACATGTTGTTAATTTTATTACATCTATCTATCTATTTTGACTTTTATACTTTACACCTCTCTGGAGTTACTGGAGAAGTTTCAATCACATGAGACAGAAACAATCCTACACAGCCACCACTTGAATCTACTTCTACAAATAGTATAAGTCTAAAAATATTTCTGAAGCCTAATCTTTATCTGCAAATGTGCAGAAATACCAGGTTAAACAGAATGAAAAGACATGCAAAAAAAATGTCAACATTAGAAATGAAGCTTCAAACTATTTAGGACAGCCCAACAGATTTGGATCTTGTCAGCAGAATCATCACACATGTGCATCACATTTCACAGTTTGTGAAAGCTCTGTTATGGATAGACATTTCACACTGGCTTTTTATCTTCAGTGTAAGAAAGGTAACATAAAGAACTTTGAATAGAGATATTATGTTTCCCTAAAGTGGATGTCACATGTCACAAAACCCTGTATCCTCCTCCGTGCGATGTTATGTTTAAGGCTGCATGAAGAAAAGCTGAGACTGGAGAGGGAGAGACAGAGAGAAAGGATGAAGAAGTGCATGCAAAGGTCTCTGGGTGATGGCAAGAAAATAGTAAGTAACTCACTTCAGAATGGATAATAATAATAATAATAATCTTTATTTATAGAGCACTTTTCAAAACTGTGTTACAAAGTGCTTTCACAAGAGCAAAGACAATAAAACACATAAAACAACTAACAAGATACACAGTAAAAGCAGGAAGACACTTTAGAAATTAAAATAGAATTAAAAGGAAAATAAATAAATAGATTTCTTCGGGCAGGCTGTTCCAGAGCCTCAGGCCCTGACTGCAAACGCTTTGTCCTCTTAAGTTTTGAGTCGAGAGTCTAGAAACAGCTCTGCCCGAGGAATTCAAGGTACGTGCTGGTGCGTATGGGACCAAAAGGTCATATTTTTTTGTTCTGGTTAAAGTAGGTAGGTTTATTGTCACAATATAACAAGTTATAGAGTAAAATTTAGTTTTGTAACTCGTTTCTGCTATATAGCAGACTATATACATATAATAAAGAATCAATTATGAAAAATGGTAAAAAGAAATAAACTATCATCACTGAAAGGCCTGGCAGCTCAGTGCTGGACAGTCTGAAGTGGATCAATAGAGTTTTGGGTCATGCAAGTAAAAAGGCTGATCCAGGCGTGATGAGATAAAAGCATTTAAAATGGTCTCTGTGTCCTTAAAAGTCATTATCGATCGTGTTTTTGATTTATTTCTAAGATGGTAAAAACACAACTGCTCAAGCTTTGTCGTGTGCTGCTCAAAACCTAAATTACTGTTAAACCAGACTGCAGGATTTAGCAAAAGGCTTGGTATGATTCACTAGGGAACCAGCAGATGGCAGTATTTACTTTGCCATTTCCTGGAACCCAATTGCCATTTCCTGGAACCCAATGACCAGGATCTCTGTTTTGTCTGATTTCTGCTAGAGGAAATTATTTGACATCCACTTTTTGACATCACAGTGGCATTGGCATGTATTATCAAAAAAGACCACATTCATTTGAATGGCATTCTACACTGCATGTGTGTCACTGGGTAAGATTTGGGGGAAATCTGCTGGAATACATTATAACTTAATACGGAAATAGGGGAAAGTGGGAAATGTAGTAATTTGGAGAAATACTCATACTACTACCTTTGTGAAATAAAGGCACCAAACCTCCCAAATCCATGCTAAAAATTAATGTTAGTTTAAAAAAAAAAGAAGTGTGCAGAAGGCTAAAACTTTTTTCGTTTTTTCTTTTAGATTAAAAGGAGGCTCATGCCCAGATGTATCCCTCTTGAGCCGAAGATCAAAGTCAGCGATGAGGACAACATTCCTGCCGAGGATGAACTTTACGCCGAACTCTTCACCAATGAGGACGTGGAGTAGAAAATAAATAAACACATACTGTTTGTTTTCCATGCCATCCAAGTGTTGATACCACATCTCAGGTCAGGACAGGTTTATTTCAAGTTGAAACTAATCCAAAATGTATTCTTCACCAATGTAAGGCCATTTTAAAATGTAAATATGTTGCATTAATGTATATTATAAAACACATAACTTTAAGAATTCGTTTAGATTTTATTTATTTAATTATGATATTTTGTAAATATAAACAAATAACGAATTGTTGTAATGACTTCTCACAATCATAAAATAGTCCCAAGTCTCTCTCATTCTATACTCATTGGAAATACTTCTGAGAAATAAAGCTAACATAGTGCCAGTTTTGATCATGGAAAAAATAGGACATTGTTGGTAATGCTTAATCAGGGCATCAAGTCAGAGAGAGTATCATTCTAATACAAGTGAAGACTAAATAAAACAAAACTAGCAGGAGTGTTTTTAATATTCTGTCTGCCACAAATGTAAAAAGAGGGGGATACCCTACTGGTCCTGTGCCCGTGGAAGAATGTGGAGGTGTAGTACCACACCTTGTATTAGAATTCATTATATGCTACAGTGGCATTTATTGTTTCATAAAAACATTATTATTATGAATAGGCCTAATATCAACATTAGTACAAAAAATGTTTATTTATAACAATAGTGATAAAAAATTATGTTTAACATTACAATTACTATCTGTACTGGGGGCAGTAGATCAGTCGGACTTGCCATGGGAACTGGAGAGCAGCCAGTACAAGTCCAGCACGGACCACACAGTGCGGAGAGTGGACTGGTAGCTGAGGGGCCAGTTTACCTGCTGGGCACTACCGAGTTGCCCTTGAGCAAAGCACCGAGCCCCTGACCGCTGGGGGGTGTCTGACTAACTGGCAGTCCCATGACTTTACAGTTTTTTTCAACTGCTAACAAGCATTTACCTAAACTCAAGATACTTTATCAAAACTCTTAACACAGCAACACACCTACCACACACAATTAGCCAAATAGTATATTTTCTGCTCAAAACTACATTTTGTTCTTTAAAAGCATCTTGGAGACAAAAGTTAAAAAAGGTAAGTAGACTCGAACCAATGGTGCTAAAAACCTCCTTCACTATCCTAGCGGGAACAATGTCTAAAGCACAGTTGGTAGGTTTCATGTGGCGTACGACCTCAGTGAGCAACGACAGAGAAACAGGCTTAAATTCCTCAAACACAGCAGAATGCACAGGAGCAGCAGGTACAAACAAACTAAAATTGACACTGGCGTTTTGCCTGACTGATACTTTATCAATAAAATAACAGAGAAACTTCTCACACATACTGATTGAAACCTCTGTCAAAGCAGAGGTGCATGGTTTATAGTGCTGAATAACACCCTAGATTCATGGCAGGTGTTAGTTATGACAGATGAGAGTTCATCTTCGCCAACTTTACAACCTTCTCACATCTAATGTCATCTCTCACTATGCATCTTACTGATTCAGCTACCCCTCACTGGCCCTTTTCCTCTCCCCGGCCCAACTATTCTTCTCCCTTGTTCAGACATTATTGTTTCTTTCTCTTCTCATATTTGTTGTTCTGTATCCACATTTGATAAACTCAACTCCAGAAAGTCCCCTTTCTTACTGCATTGTGTATGTAATTGAAAGAACCTCAACACTTGCCTATGTCTATGGTTGAGATTGGAATTAGCTGTGGTTGATCTATTTTACCCAAATTACAATAAAAGCTATTTCTCAATGTTTCAATGATCACTTCATTCAGAAATGCTTATCAGTCGTTTCAATATAGATTTTGAGCTGCTATTGTAGCAGAAGTAGACGCATTATACATTATTTAAGGTTTTAACACAAAAAACACCCATAGTTTTGGTATTGGGTAAGCTTGTATGTATTTAAAAGATTAGTATTTTAGAAATGGGTTACTTGACTGCATATTCTGTGTAAACAACATGAATTGTATGAATGGTATGGTATGAACAAACTGATGTGGGGCTAACTGTGTTCAGAGTTTTGAAAATGTGACTACAGATTGGACAAAAGGATGTTAGCGGTTGTAAAAAACTGTAACATCTCTCTCTATCAACTGCGTGTCAATGGGTCCTTTGTTTATTTCAGGACTGTGTGTGTGTGTAAAATAACAATCGAGTGAAAAAGCTTTCCCCAAGTGGTTCAATAAAGTTATTATTCTTCATTTCCTTTGAATGATGTAATGTTGTAATTCCTGACTATGACCACTGGAGGGCAGTGAACACTCATCACAATAGTCTACAGGTTCAAGACACAATACTTGTGTTGGCTAAGAACTTTAATAAAACAATAAAATAATGAAGACAGTGGTGTTACTAATAGTCTGTCCTTCATGTGTGTAAATAGCATGATGAAAATATTTAGATTTCAACCATCATGTTACTTGATTTGCACAAAGTACTGAAATGTGCAGCTTGATTACCAAGATATATTTTTACACAGCACTTAATGGCAAACAAACAAAAATAATTCAAAAAGCTCTTTTGCATTATAGGCCTATACAGATTTATGTAATACGATACTATTCCTTACAACAGATAAAGGCATGTTTATAGAACGTTTTTCATTAATATCTACAGAGTAAATACCATAATTTCCCCCTCAGCCAGCTGGTCCTGAGGCTCTCTGCAGTAACAAGTCCCCAACAGCCTCAGGACAGCAATACCAACTCAAGCAGACCAAACCAAATTATCAGCAAGCAGAAAGAAAAATATATTGAATACTGGAAAGAAACGACCAAAACACAAAGTAAATTACAATGTTATCTGACCCTAAAAAGAGAATTCACACTGGCAAATTACCTGAGTACAATAAAATGTCCCAAATTAAGAAAAATGCTGACAACATACAGACTGAGTGAACACAGCCTGGCCATAGAAAAGGGTCGCCACAGACAGAGCTGCACTTTCTAACCTCATGCCCTAAATATAAAACACTAAGACAAAAACACTATGCAAACATTTCCCAAATATACCCCAAATTCGAATTCATATCAGACACACAAAAACTCCCCTATTTACTGGGAGAAATGCCCAAATGCGAAATAATTTCTGCAAAATATGTCTCCTCATGCCATGAAGGGAGGACAACCAGTGGAACCTCAGACTAACAAATAATTGTACAGATTTTCAAATAATTATTATTTTGACCATTTGATATTTTAGTAATTGTTTTGTTTTTACATTTGATACTGATTTCTTTTTTCTTTTTATTATTTTTTTTTTAATCAATTAATTATTTTTAAAAAATGGGTTTTTTTGTCTATTAATATATACACACACATACATTTATTTAATTTTTTTATATATTTTTTTAACACACACACACAATTATCGTTTTATTTATTTATTTTAATTTAATTTTTAATATATATATATATATTTTAACACACATACACACACACGCTTACTGTTTTATTATTTTATTTTTATTTTTATTTTTTAAACACAAAAACTCATACACTTTGATTACTTTACGCTTTAATTGTTTAATGAAATGTATGGGGCTGATTGTTCTTATGTTGTGTATATATGATGCTTTGGCAATGTTGTTATTACATTCATGCCAAAAAAAATGATTTGAATTGAATAACACCTACATTTATAGTGGCCACTGGATGGAGTGATCAACTGCAAAACCTGATTATGCATGTTTTCTAAAAATGTGCATTGAGAATACAAAACTATGATTTTTATACATTATTTATAAAAACATTGCATACAATGTTTGAATACAAAAGTTTTTTTTTGTACACTGACGTTTTAAATGTCTCATTTAATGCCACTGCCACTCCATTTTCAAAATCACACTGAGGTGTTCAAACCCAGTGCCTTTGTAAACACCCTCTGTGCATCCTCAGCAAGCATGTTGAGGAAAGTATAGAGAATTTTATAGGTGGAGGTAAAAGAGAAGGTCATTGCTAATGGGATTCCAAATATCGGAATGAATCTTGTCACTTCCTCTGCTGCTATTATTGCAGATGTTATTCCAAATTGACAACAAAGCTTAATGACAAGATCAGGGGTTATTTTTTGTTAGAGCCAGAGGTGAAACAATGATGTCAGTCAGATCCTTCAGTGGCACATGTGTAGTATCAGCAAGTCTCTGCACTGACCAGGAATCAAGACCAAACCCAACTACGTATTGTGTGACAGCATCAACCAGCAGGGCTACATCTACAACAACAGAAAGCCCAGGAAGTGGTACAGCTGCTACAGCTGCAGATCCAAGAGCAATGTATTTGATTTGGGCCTGGAAAGCCTTTTTCTTCTTGTTGATGATCTCCAGGCTGACATTGGGCATGGCAAACAGCAGAGCATTCCTCTTGTGAGCTGGGAGATCTCTCTCTAGAGTTTCCTCCAACTGATGGAAATCATACAGGTGAAGTTCAAAGTTGGACACCAGGAAGACTTGTGGAGACTCAACACCTTGTTTTTGAAGACCTGTGTCACAAAAAAATTAATTACTGGTAAATCAAGTGCACAGTTAAACTAAAAGGGATTTATTATTAAAAAAACTTTCGTTCAGAATAAAAGCAAGGGCTAGTAATAAAAGAATCCTTGACAGGGACACTGCTCACTAATCAACAGAAACAAAGACAGCATGCCACGAACTGAGGACAACCAGTGGAAACTCAGAATAGACTCAAATATAATAATTGTTCTGAAATGTTTTCAAACTATTATTATTTCCATTGTCTGTTATTTTAGTAATTGTTCCTTTATTAGTTTTTTTTATCTCATATTTGATACTATTTTTTTCTTTGTCTATTAATATACACACAGTCACACACTGTTTTATTTTAATTTTTAATATTTACTTTTTATTTTTCAACACACACACACACACACACTTATATTGTTTTATTTACTTTATATATATATATATATATATATATATATATATTTAGAGTGATTAATGAACTGTATAAAATCAACTGTTCTTTTGTAATTTATTTGTAGCTTTGGAAATATTGTTGTTTTACATTCATGGCAATAAAGCTAGATTGAATTGAAAGCACAGACTGATAACTGGTGTTAGAAAAGAAGTGAATACTATAATAACCATCTTTGCCACCGTACAATTCCTCTTTTCAGAAATTGTCAACAAGTCAATATTTTGACAATATGTCAAAATACCTCACCCACCCTGCATTTTATCTTCACATCATTTATGCATTAACAATAAAATAGAGCCTGAACAGTAACTTTAACTCTAATTAAGCTACTATTTATCGCTCAGAGTGGATGATTATTTTTTATGTGCAGTTTAAAGGACACATTATTACATTTTTTGTATGTTTTTTTTCTGCCACTGTGTGCTTTGATTAGAGGACATAAAAACTAACACACGTCCCTTTCAAACTTTTAACCCCTTCACCCATTCTATTGTTTTTCCCATGATCAAAACTCCTCCACTTAGCTTTATTTGTCAGGAGTGATTTTCTTGACTTTGAGTTTTGATGTGTGCCTGAATTTTAATATATGTGTTATGGCAGAAAATTGTATCCTCTTACATTTTATCTTTAAAAATACCATCACTAACAACTACATTCTGTGATACACACACAGACACATAAATCTAGGTTGTCCATGGTTTTCAACGTGCAGTTGCCTTATCCTTAATGCATTTCATTAGGTTATTTATTTAAATTAATTGATATTATTTACCCTGTCATTGCTGTGCTGTGTTGTTATTTTTTCTTGACTGTTTTCCTTTTCTTTCTCTGCTGGTTACTGCTGTTGTTCAGCTGGCTGTCTCCTGTGTGATGTTTTAATATAATGGAAATCCAGTGATAATCTCACACTGATTATGATTCATTGCATGAGTCACTTACCTTGAATGCAGTTTTCCCTGATTTGTGCAAGAGTCCTTTCTAGGTTGAAATTTTTCCTCTGACTTCTTTCCGCATCACGTATGTTATGGTCAATCTTTGAGCGAACAAAGTAGAACTTTTTCTTCATCCTCTGAATCTCCCGAGCGAGCTTCACATCATTTTCTCTGAAGCGAGTGTCTGAGATGATGATGAAGAAGTCAAACTTCTCAAATCCAACATGCTCCAGGTACTCGTCAGCTGGAAAACTGGTGGAGCCAATGCCAGGAAGATCCCACAGTGTAACATTGGGAAAGTTTGGATGGGGGTATGGTGTGACCTCCAAGGTGGTTTCTACACAACCAGTAGGAGCGGCTCCCTCATCCCCATTCTCCATGCCTCTAAAGGCATTAACAAAGGAGGATTTACCAGAGCCTGTCTCTCCTGTGATCGCTATATTTAGTGGAATTTTATTCTCCTGATCCAAATACTGCTGGATCTTTGCAGCAGCTAAGGCTTGATCATTGTTTTGTAGAGCTGCTTTAATTTCATTTTTAAATGATTCAAAATCCGAAGGATGATCCATGGTGATCTTGAATACTGGAATAAAAGAAAAGTGAAAAAGTCACACAGAAAAATAAAATATTAATATGATCCACTACAACCTGGAACACAACAGATCAGTTTTACAGACTTTTACTGAATATTAGAAGCTACTCACTCTGGAGTCTTAATGTAGGTGACACAAGAGCAGACCACTTGTATGAGTTACTGAGATGTCCAGCTGCAAGAAAAGCAGATTCTTTAATCTTATAAGAAACAATAGAGTTCACAGAGTCCAGCCCTTTAGACACTGGCCAATGGAAATGTCCTTCTGTGAGTGTCTGACAACCGATTGGTTACTTGTAAAGCAGCTGACTTCCAAGAAACCTGCTGATTTACAATAAACATGGAGTGCTTTCCGCTTTATCTAACCCTGTCAACGTGATATCATGGAATGGCACGCCACTTTTAAGGACATTTTGGCGTAACATGTCAGCGCTATTTAAGCTTTTCACGTGTCATTTCACACTGTTCAGTCCCTATAGACCTAAGCAACACAAAGGAGCTTAGCTCCCCTTAATAAGACATCAGCTCCCCTAAAAGCATGATTTGTGATAAATTGGGGGGTCTCCAAAATATTGACAGCATGCTTTATTGACATGAATCTCTATATTTCTCTATCATCATGGATCATACGGAGGAGCGTCAGACTTCATCCAGCAAGAGGGAACGATCACCGACCATCCGTAGCGGGCCAGTCGCACCGCGATCTAGCAAAGGATCAGTAGGAGGTTTCTTCATTGATTTGGAATCAAGTCAGTCTTTATTATTAAACAAGTAAAGAATAAATTGAAATAATTACAGTAAAGCAATAAAATGGTCTAACGGTGAGTTAAAATTAAACAGCATTATGAATTACCTTCAACAGCATGCAGCAAAATAAGAGTGAGTTCCAAAATTAAACTTTGTAAAATCTTGCTAGTGCTTTGTGTGACCAACTTACCATCATTAAAGAACTAGCTAACAGCTCTTTGTTTCCCCAGTGATACCTGGAAGGAGGAGTCGGCTGTGTTTTTGTCTGCTATACTTTCAATTTTACAATCTGTGTTTACTTCTCATAGCATGTGCTCTGCAATATCTGTGGTTTAGATGAAATAAAAAAACTGACCATATTTTAAAATATATTTATTTGCAATGCAATGCTAATCCAATCAGTGATGTGGAGATATTTCAATTGTGAACATTATTAATGTGTTTAGTTTGTCCAGTTTATCAAATACAGACAGCATATTCACCAACAACACACAGCAGAGACCCATTCACTCCTGCGGTTTAACTGTTATAAAGTGTAGCAACATTCTCATTTATAATATTCAGTCTAGCTCACTAACCGTTTTCGTTATCATCCAATACATGTAGATATGCTGACATTGCTGAGCCTCTCTGGTGAAAGACACAGTTATTGGCAGGCAAGCTAATGCTGACATATAATGTCGACTGAATGCAGTCAATGTAATGTTACCATGATATTTGATGGAGGATAAAATATGATATTTTGTAAATATAAGCAAATAATGTATTGTAGTAATGACTTGTTATTCTGTTCTCACAATCATGCTATTTATTACTGTCTAAAATAGTCCCAAGTCTCTCTCACTTTATACTTATTTGAAATACTTCTGACAAATAAAGCTATAGTGGCAGAGTTTTGATCATGGGAAAATAGAATGGGTATAGGTGTTAAACGTTTCAAAGCGATGTAATTTGTTTTTTTTCTTATGCCCACTAAATCAAAGCACATTGGCAGAAAAAAAAATCTCCATTTGTAGGATTTCCATGTGTTAGAGGGGATCCGAGAGATCTTCCTGCACTCAAGAGGAATGTTCTGCTGTTTATAATACCCAAAAGTCACTTCAAGTATTTGTGTATTACTCTATTGTCCACAGATTATATTTCCTCTTTTGTTCTTGTTAATTAATGTGATTACCTCTTCTTCAGAGTCCTATCTGAAGATTATTTAAAGGTTATTTAGAAAAATGTTCCACTGTTTTAGGTTCAAGTTTGAGAAGTATTTAGGAGCTCATTTTGTGGTGCAGCTACCGTTACAGAATCCTTGAAACTAACACTGAGAACATGTTGTTTTCTCACGCACATTAAATTGATGCATGACTGCAGATACACAATACCACATGGTTCCACATATTTGTTTTTATGAGGCACCAACACACCCAACAGTGCGTCACAGGTAAAGCCCAACAGGACCGTTTTTTCCACCCACATTTGCTCTCTCATTTTTCTCAGAAATGATAGTAACAACTGTTTGCCTACTGAGTGAAAGCTTAGATCAGTTTGACTGGCAATATTTTATACAATCTATTCACTGAGTGGCATCAATAAACAAATATCAATGCGAATTAGATAAAATAAATCATTTCCATCTAGGAAGCCATTGATCGACTAGTTGTAATATTAACTGAATATTAGCATCTACTCCCTCAAACTGCTTCCCTCCCGATGAGACTGGAGCAGAGACAGTACTTTCCAGTAAGTCCAGATTTACAACATATGAATTCAAATGTCCACTGGAAGGACAGATGTTTGAACTTCTCTTTATAATGGAATTCATACTTTTAGACAGTGACAGCTTTACATCCTGTTGTGGTGGACAGAGAGTCTAAACCAAAGACAGTTCTTTGTTTCCCCCTACCTGGCTTAGAGGTCTGCAAGCCCATCCGGTCCCAACGGGGCCCGACATGTTGGGTCAATTTGGGTCGGGCTCGGGTCAATTTCTTTTTTGATAGATCGGGCTCGGGCTCATTAAACTTCTCACCTTATTGAGCCCTTATATGCACAGAGCACACATGGGCTTCTGTTTGAAATATTGTTGTACTCACTGCTTAATTTGTACCGGCGCTATAACTGGAGCGCACCTCCTCTAAAGTGTGCTCCATCACAGCGCTGCCCTTCTAAACATATAATGCTGCGTTCCATTTACCTCGGAAGTCGGAGGTCAGAGCTGGGAATGACGTCACACCCGAGTTGACGGCGTTCCAGTTACAAGTCGGAAAACCTCGCTCGGCCAGCAGTTTGTTTTACTACTAGCCAGGTTAGCTATTGATACGCCGGTTGATTAAAAAAACGCATTGTGCGGTATTGATTCACACTAAACACTGTAGCAAACATCCACAGACAGCTGTTGGACAGCACTTTGTGTATGAACATTTATATGAGTCACAAGTATACAGAAGTGCTAATAAACAGTATAAACTACAGCTTTCACTAACTGTTGATACCCCGACAGCCATCTTGGATCACGAAGTCGAGGCAGTGCGGTTCTCCCGACTTCCCAAGTGGGGATTCCGACTTAAGGTGGCGTTCCCTTTGAAATTTTGACCTTTGAACTCGGAAATTCCGACTTCCCATGTCAACTGGATGAATGTCAACTGAACTCCAAGATTCTAGCCTGATAGGGTAAGTCTAATGGATTTCCTTATTTACTATTAGATTTGGTAGCTAAAAATGTTGCCCTTTAAAACAATGCGCAGGTACGCCATGCATTTAAATAATTAATTATTTGATCGTAAATCTGTAATTAGGCTAATAAGCAGATGGCACATTTCAGGCGCACCGCACCTAATAATTGACAAATTAAGCACTGGTCGTATTTATTATATTCTAAATAGCCTAAGCATGCAGAGCAGTGAGAAGTTGGAGCGTGTGTGCGTATATCCAAAAAGAGCGCGCGTCAGAGACAGCGTGAAATTGATGTCAGGCTCTGTTTGGGCTTGGGCTGAAAATTTGCAGATGTTATTGGGCTGGGACCAGGCCAGTTTGAACACGCTCTAACCTAGCTGTCAAAGAAAGGAAGGAGGAGTCTGTTGTGTTTTTGACTACGCTCAGACTGCAGGCCAAAGTGACCCAAATCTGATTTTTTTGCCCATATGTGACTCAGATCTTGGCCGGTATTTATCAACCTTCTCAACGTGCCATTTTAGTCTTAAGTGCTGAGAATTCATGAAATTTACTCCTACTTTTAAACTTAAGAATAAAAGCAAGTTATCAAATTTCTCAAAGCTAAGAATCAGTCTTACTCTCCCAGTTATTTAAGACAGCTTGAGAGGTCTCTCAAGTGGTTAGGAGTTGCCAGTAGGGGCTTGTGATGGCACTGTGGAGACAGAGACGTGCGGAGAGAGAGGGAGAATTCTGACGACGCACAGTTAATAATACTGAATAAAACGCGAATAGTCATGGAAACAATTATAGCACTTACAGCTCCACACACTGTCACGCGTTTCATCGACTTCCCCGTAATCCGACAGAAGCAAACACAGTTCATGCAAATATCTGGCAATACAGGAGCACTGGGCGCATTTGATGGCGCTCATATATAGATAAACTTTTTAAAAATCTTTTATTTATTAATGTAGGCGTATTTCATAATGTATTCTCTTGAAAATTCTTTATTGTTAAATGTGTGTTGAATATAAACTCCTCTGGGGAATTTCCCCATTCAATGTGAATTTATCTGAGAATATTCTTAAATAAGGAAATCTATTTAGTGATTGGTCCTTGGCTACATCGTCATCCAAAATCCTGTTTGCGGCACAGCAAAGTGTCATAAATCAGCACTAAGACTGACACTTAAGATTTAGTCCTACACTTTACTCAAATTAGGACTATGATGCTTGATAACTAACTTATAAGCACAGCTTTCAGCCAAGAATGTTTTTACTCTTAAGTCAGATCTTAGCGGTGTTCTTATGAGTAATTCTGAGAGCTTGATTATGACAGTGTGAACAGGCCAAGTCACAGTTCAGAAATGGACTACTTCCATATGTGGTCCAAATCCAATACAGATCGGATCTTTTTAAATGCACCTCAGTCTGGACACTCAGGTCGCATTTGATGCGACTTTGACGTCACTGTAGGGCAGCTGTTCTGCTGTAGACGGAGCTGAACGAATATCAATAAGTTCCACAAAAAGCTATAATTAGGGCCCGAGCACGACCGTGCGAGGTCCCTATTGAAATTGCTCGGATTATTTTTTTATTAGGGCCCGAGCACGACCGTGCGAGGTCCCTATTGAATCTGCTCGGATTATTTTTAGGGCCCGAGCACGACCGTGCGAGGTCCCTATTGAATTTGCTCGGATTATTTTTTTTTTTTTTTTTTTTTTTTTTTTTTCTTTTTTGCAAAGTAGGCCCAAATGACATGGCCTAAACATACTCGAAAACTCACCAAAATTTGCAAACATGTCAGAACCGGTGAAAAATTTCGTATTCTACAAGTTTCGCACATGGGCGTTGCAAAATGACTCGCTAGCGCCACCTA